GGACACTCTACATCACGGGTAGGCAAACTAGGGGCCGGATCTGGCCCAATCACCTTCTAAATCTGGCCCGCAGACGGTGCGGGATTCAGCGTGCTTTTACATGAGTAGAATGTGTCCTTTTATTTAAAATGCATCTCTGGGTTATTTGTGGGGCATAGGAATTTGTTCATTTCCCCCCCAAAAATATAGTCCGGCCCCCCACAAGGTCTGAGGGACAGTGGACCGGCCCCCTGCTGAAAAAGTTTGCTGTCCCCTGCTCTACATGCAAAGAGGATGCTTTACTATTGAACTACAACCATTTCCTTAAAATTTTGTACCCAGAAAGAGCACAAAGTCTCCCCCATCAGAGAGATACTGTCCCTCCCCTGACATCCCATGCACCTTTAGTATTATATTAGCCATTATTTCTATTCATACCCCATTCATAGACAGTTGAGGGCATGAAGAAACAGGGCACAGAACAAATGGGCCAAGAACCAAAGCAAAATTCCTGCCAACCAGCACAAACCCAGCCTATGTATGCAAGCAAGCAAGTTCCATCATTTCACCAAAATCGTGCTCTGTTTCCCTTCTGTGCCACACTTTGGCATGAAATGATTTTAGTAGCAGTTGTAAAACAATGGTACTTCCTCTTGCAAAGCCCAAATTACGCTTCACTGTACACATATAAGCCTAGAAGCTTTACACAAGCACTAAACAAATAGATGGGAGACTATAGCATGCCTAGCCAAACAGAAAGAAAACACTTCAGCATAATGACAACTTGCAACAAGCTGAGAACCGACTGCTGGAAATGCTGTAGAAAATGAGATTGAAGGGTGTGTGCGAGAGAGAGAGATGGCAAAGGCATTTGGAGACAGTCCCTAAGCAGTATTTGCTGTGTGCCCCCTCTCCTCAAAAGAAATTGTCAAGATACTCATTACTCCAAGGCATTTCTAACTGGCAACAGCTTTATAAAGTATTTAATATTTTCATATGCTTCAGTATAAAGCCATCTGTCGGCGTGACAGAACAAGGTATTGGGAACAAGAGTAAACGTATGTTTATGGGAGTAACTCCATGAAATGTTAACAAGAAATACACTGAGAAGCTCATCAATGTCTTGTAGTAACTAAACAAGGGAATTGAGAATCATGACATTCATCTTCTGTGTCCACAATTATAAGGGTTTTTTCCCCCCTAATTTCTCTCTGTGAAGAAATATTTAAAAAATAATGGGAAAAGGGAACAGGTAAATCTGGCAAGTGTGACAAGAAGGTCGGACAAGATAATGCCCATGGTTCTTTGCACTAGTTTTTCCATTTAAGCTCTTATTATCCCAAATTTCTCTCGTTCAGCCACCATAAGTGTGGGAAGAAATAGAATGCTTGTTAAAGTTTATGTTTAGTGGTTTCACACTGGGTTTTTAACAGCCACTTTCTCGGCACCAAATAGTTTATTCTAAGGAGCTGCTTGAGGAGTCATTAGTAGTGCACTTTGGATTAAATGTTCTACTAGTTTTGTAGCTGGATAACACACCTCTCTCTCTCTCTCTCTCTCTCTCTCACTCTCACACACACACACACACACACTTACTTTCCTAGAGTGATAAGATAGTTTAATGTGCACTTTCTTAATTTTTTTCTTTTCTGGTGAATGTAGAATGGTTTTAAGACATTATCCTAGATGCCAAATTTTGAAATTTCTATTTTGTTTTGTTTTCGAGTGCTTGTTTTCTTAAGTTGCCACTGGACATTGTTTTCTTTCCCTGCTCCCTCCCCATTCTTATTTTATTTTTTTTATCAGTTAACTATTTACTGCTTATTTTAAAATATTTATACACCACCAGTTCTTACAATATAACATGGCGGCATAGAACATCATTTACAATAAAATATGAACCAACATAAACAGTACAAAATGATTGGCTGAACAAAAAATAAATAAAAATAAACAGTTTCATGGGCCTTTCTACATTTTAAAAATAAGATAAGGAGAGCCTCCTGGAACAGGCCAGTGGTCCATCTAGTCCAGCAACCTGTTCTCACAGTGGCCAATCTGATGCCTCTGGAGAAACCCTCAAGCTGAACTTGAGCAGAAGAACATTCTCCCCTCCTGTGGTTTCCACCCACTGTTATTCATAGACCTACTGCCCCTACAGTGGAGGTAGAACATAGCCACCACAGGTACTAGCCACTGATAGCCTTATCCTCCTTCATGGTGGGGCTGGCAGTGGCCAAGGAGGTTATATAGGTGGAGGCAATAAGGTCATATGGGCGGGGACAAGTTGTTGTGGTTTCCTTCCCAACTTCCTCCCATGCAAAGGTGCACACCCAAAAGCATTCCAGTTGTATAAATATAAAGCATCTCATTAATCTGAAAAAGCATCTAACCTTGGGTAAGGAGGGGTCACAGTTTATAGTGTGGAATAATGTAACGTTAACCACACATTATTCAGAATTCAGCCCCACTAAATTCTACAATCCCTGTTAGGATTGGAGCCTGAATTGGTGAGGCTTAGAGATGCCACACAAAAGCTCTTCCCTCTTTGTGTTAAGTGGGGCTCAGCAGCACTTGATTCACGATTGCCCTTGGAAAAGTTTATGGATGCAGCTGTATAAAATAATAAAGCTCTTCTTGGACATCAGCATGGTTCTCTGTGTCTGCAAGTGCAGAACAAAATTAATGTGGGGTGGGGCAGGGCGGGGGGGGGGGGGAGCAACTGTGTGCTCTCAGAATGAGCATATTATTGAGGAATTTCAGGCTACCTTTCTACCGGTTAGAATATTCTATATATTGGGAGACAGTTACCACTCCAACCCCCAGTGAGGACCATTTGGAAATGTAAATACCTTTCATCTCTATATCCTGAAATAATTAATCGCATAATAATAATAATGCCTTCACCACTTAAATTTTGCTGAATGTATAATAAACCAACTTTTTTTGGGGGGGGGGGAATAACTCACAAATTGTGTGAGGTTTTGGTCAACATTGTGAAACTAGATCAGTAGCTGGGAGATTTACTTTAACATGCCGGTGTAATATCGCAGTGACAGAATAATTCCCCTACCAGGTGCAGTTATTATGATATTACCTTCACAATGCATTTGGGACTCTTGATAGAAAGAACTACACTCTCGTGCAATGTTTTTGCTCTTATGACTCTGAATCTGAGATGTAATGTATAGTGAATGTTCCAGTGAAATCAATGGGATTTAAATGTATGAGGCTTAAATACATAATGGATTGTGATCAAAATAGTTTTAAAAGAATGATAGCGGGTAAACTTATTATTTGTTAATTTGAGAAGTCAGATAAATGTCTATTGAGTGTGTTTGCTGCAACAGTGACATCTTGTGGTTATTCCCACCCAGTAGTTTCTATCACATAGAATAAAACTCATTCAGAAAACAGTAGAAGCAGAAGTTATTATAAGACAAACCTTGTTATTTACATGTTGTGCAAACTGGCTTATTAAAAAAATATGTATAAATAGGGACTGGCCTCTGAATTAGTATATCAGGCACAAGCTCTTTGCCTCAATTACAGGTTGCATTTTAATGTGAAGCTTAACTAATTCAAACCTTCCAGAATAATACCTTGTATATGCAGGGAGATGGGGGACACACATTAACAAAGTAACATAGAAATGCATTGTGGTAGGGGAAATTGCTTGCAAAACTGTGTGTATTATTTCTTTATTTTATTTTTGAACCACTTCCCATTAAAATATCTTGAAGTGATTTAACAATAAAAACAATTTCAAGTCTAATATAGATAGTGATTTTTTTAAAAAAAAGTCTTAATGGAAAAGGAAGGTTTTTCAATAGCTGAGGAAAAAATAAGAGAGGGAGCACCTGCATATAATAATAGTAATTTTTATTTATACCCCACCCTCTCCAGCCAAGGCCGGGCTCAGGGTGGGAGAATGCAGTATTGCATACAAAATGTTTATATGAGGAAGAGGTGCACACTAACATGCTGGTACATGACTTTTTGAAAAAAATGATAACCAATAATCACAAATTAAAGTGGAGAGCTGAACTTAAGATCAGAAAAGAGAGAGACTGGAATTAGCAAATTCATCTAACCCTATTCACGGTTAGGCATGTAAGAAGGAATGGTTTTCCATTATGTCCTGTAGTTTCATATTCAGCACTGTTTCTGTTCTGCTGCAGTTTGTCTTCGCCCCCCCCAACCCCATTATTCACCTCGTGGCAAAATTACATAATTAAAAATAAATAATTTTTTCCATTACATTATTACAGCCCATTCATTACAGTGCAAAGGAAGCACAATGCAGATGGGGGAGGGCATGTAATCAATTACATATCATTTGGAGACTGAAAGCAGCAGCAATGGTGAATACTGATAATATTTGCTTCATTGATTTCCATTCCAGACATGGGACAAATAATTACTGGCAATTTCTGCTTCCATTTCTATCAGAATTCTTGAACATGCTTACTCATGGTGCATTTCTTTGCGCATCTACTCAGAAGAAAGCTCCATTGACCTGAGAGGGTAAGTGAGTATAGGATTGCAGCCTTACTCTCAGACATTGTCAGGGGTCAGCAACCTTTTTCAGCCATGGGGCGGTCCACCGTCCCTCAGACCATGTGGTGGGTCAGACTGTATTTTGAAGGGGGGAAAATGAACAAATTCCTATGCCCCACAAATAACCCAGAGATGCATTTTAAATAAAAGCACACATTCTACTCATGTAAAAACACCAGGCAGGCCCCACAAATAACCCAGAGATGCATTTTAAATAAAAGGACACATTCTACTCATGTAAAAATACGCTGATTCCCGGACTGTCCGCGTGCCGGATTGAGAAGGCGATTGGGCCGCATCCGGCCCACGGGCCTTAGGTTGCCTACCCCTGCATTAAGTGTTGGGTTTTGTTTTATATGCTGCTGTCATGAAGCTGGTTGCTTGATGTGTGTGTATGTATATTTATGTATAAATCTTGTGAGCTGCTTCCTGTATCACCCATGCAGAAAAGTGTGGCTAAAAATGACAAACCAAATCATGTTTTCTTAGCATGCTTAGCTGTGCCTTTTTTATTATTATTTAAATCAGGGCACAGCTAAGCGTGCTAAGAAAACTTGATTTCTGGATAACATTTCCCTGTACTTAAAGTGGGCTGCTTCCCTCCATTGCACCATTTTAGTATGGATGTAGTAATGATAACACTGAATGTAGTAATAATAACATTGTCATTCTCTCAGCTGAAAGAGAGAATTAAGCAGAGAGCAGTTGCTCTATCTTCAGAGGTTGTATGCATTGTACATAAATTCTGGATCCAGCATATCCATTTCTTCTTTGCTTCTTTTGATTTATGCCACTATGTAAGAAGCACGAGACAAACATATTAACATGCAACAATTGCTATCCTACCAATCAACTGCATATATTATGGAGAAAACCTCTATCATAAAATGACAGTGGTACCTTGGGTTACAGACGCTTCAGGTTACAGACTCTGCTAACCCAGAAATAGTACCTCAGGTTAAGAACTTTGCTTCAGGGTGAGAACAGAAATCGCGTGGTGGCAGTGGCGGCAGTGGCGGCAGTGGTGGCGGCGGCAGCAGCAGCAGGAGGCCCCATTACTTAAAGTGGTACTTCAGGTTAAGAACAGTTTCAGGTTAAGAACAGACCTCCGGAACGAATTAAGTTCTTAACCTGAGGTACCACTGTAATTACATTAAGCATACTAATGGGGTCAGGAAGAGTCGGACACGACTGAACAACAACAAAATGTTATGCACAGAAGAGGAAACAAAATGACTCCAAATATAATATTTTACGTCATTATTTTTTTTCCAAACTGAGGGGCGGGATATGTATGTGTGCGTGCGCACACCACAGAACTCTGCCCCTCAATCCAATGTAAATCACACACATGGCTAACAGTAGCATATCTGCACAGTTTTTATAGCAAGCTGCCTTATACTGAGTCAGAACATTGTCCCACTTTGCTCAACATTGTCTACACTGTTTGGCCGTGGCTCTCCAGGGTTTCAAGCAGGAGTCTTTCCCATCCCTACCTGGGTATGTTGGGGATTGAACCTAAGACCTTCTGCATGCATGGCAGATGTTCTACCACTGAGCTAAAACCCTTTCCGTAATTCCTAGGATCAAAGGAGGCCATCCATCTGACAGATCTTTATCTCCTTTGTTGCCTCAGCGAGCCCTGAAGCTAGCCCTAGGACTCTTGAAGAACAGTTTTAAAATAACTGTACTTGCGAGACATAAGCAACTTTATAATTAGGGGTGGGGTAGCCATATATTTCAGGGATGGGGGAAAGTGGTGTAAAGGAATACAAAGAGGTTTATTATTATTGATAGATACGTGGGTATTTTTCATCAGCATCTCCTGTGTGGTTCATGATCCAGTGCTCAGCCTTGTAATCTCCCACCAAGGGAATGATTCAGGTTAAAAGAGATCAATATGGTATGAAGTATTTCAAGTTCTCATTATTGTAATGTGTCGGTATCACTTGAGTGACCCCAGAACCCCACACTGGCTGATTTGTTCACTGACTTATTGTGCAATCTTGTCGGGCAAACTATAATTTCACTTGGAATGTGAAAACTCTATATTTACAGTTCTGTCTCCCGCTCTCCAATCATTAGGGCATTCAGAAGTAATCAATATTTTTTGCTTGTTACTAACAGCTGAATGAAGTTGTCAAGCAGTTAGATTGCAAAGGATACAAACAAAGGAATATGGAATGATAGGGTTGGGGAAGAGATCTTGCCATTCAAAGGCACAGTTTGCAGCCCTTAAATAGTATCTGTTGAACGATGGTTCCCTTTTCATTTAAAAAACCCCCTCAAAGGTGGTACTTAATTCCAAAACTTTCTGGACAACAACCTGTTGCTTTCTGCAGTTGATTATATGCATAGGGAGGTTTTTCTTCCAAGGTTTTATCTGCACCAAACTTGATGCAACTGTTTCACTACATTTGTGTGCCATTTCTCAGCCAAACCCCTCAATGTACTTTACTGTTCTATGTAAGTGTTTTGCATTATAAGAGACACAACAGAAGAAATGAAAACTCCCTCATTACACTAGAACTTGTAGACATCTAATGAAGCTGGACAATGGAAAATTCAAGGTAGACAAAAGAAAGTGCTTTTTCATGCAGTGCATAGTTAAACTGTGGAACTCCCACAGAAGACAGTGATGGCCACCAACATGGTTTAAAAGAGAACTGGTCAAATTCACAGAGGAGAGGGCAATCAGCGGCTACTAGCCATTATGCTGGAAACCAGAGGAGAGAGTGCTCTTGTACTCAAATCCTGCTTGCATGTTTCCTACAGGCATCTGCTTGGCCCCGTGAGAATAGGACGCTGGACTAGATGGGCCACTGGCCTGGTCCAGCAGTCTCTTCTTATGTTCTTAACTGGATGGGAATTGGAAAGTAAGCAAATTTGGCTCCAAGGGGACTTCTAGATGTCCTGTTCATTGAACATTTATCCTGATTAGCTTGCAAGATAGATTAGAAGATGTTAACTGCTAAATGAGCATTCCTTCAGATTTGTTTTCGGGGAGGCTAGGTGATGTTGCATCAAAGTAAACAATACCCCTCCCTTTCCACTGCATTTCCCCATCACTTTCCTTTTTGCAAGAAGTCCGATCTTTTGGGGAAGAGAATTTGTCCCACAAAAGCTCCAGATCCAGATTGTGAAACCTGAATTTAATGGGACATTAATGAATCTTACCCCAAAATAACAACAGCCTGGAACCACCCCAAGTCTTTAATGTTATTACATGATGGAATTCCTTCATGAACTAGTGGAATTGGTACCAGCCAAATGTGACATTGGAGGCCCCACTGCCTGACCTTTCAGTTGTATGAAGGCAGTTGGAATGGCCGCTAATAGAGGCAGTTCTGGAAGATGAGGGAATAAATGTCAGGTTTATAAACAGTTGCTGTGTTTTGCAATTAGGAAAAGGGTATGATGGTTGTCTCCAGTGATGAATGACATTCACAATGACCAGTGCAATTCATTCTTAAAATTGTTGCTGAAAGCAGCCTAGAGGGGCTGGGAGTTTAAGTGGAGAAAATACTTTGGCAGTCTCCTCTCAACCTACCGCATTCATCCCTTCTACAAGCTTCTTTTTCACTTGACTAGGGGAGAATATGTGACTTACTCAAGCTATATATAAATAAAATGTAGAGGGAAGAATTGCAGAACATGTTTTTTGGCCAGTACCGGAGACAACGCTTTCATTTTGGTTTCCCTCTACAAACGATAAACTCAAATTTAGCTGTAACATGTATATACTTAGTGGTGGTCACATACTTGGGAAACTCTCTCACATGAGCAATGTATTTGGTCCACTCCTGAACAGCTTTATAAGTGTCCACCAAACTCCCTTTGTTTTGTTCTGCTTATATTTAATGTTTCAGTATAGGATATTTTATTATATTATACTCTACTGGTTATGTATTGTACTCAAACTGCACATGCAACAGGCCCAGCAGATTGGTGTGTTTTTCTTTTATTGTGTCCTCCAGCGGTGGAGAGGAAGGGGACTAAGCCCCTGGAATTCTTGTTTGTTTTAAATGACTCCTCTTTATGAGCTGCATTTGGATTATAGATGTAAGAAGTCATCATTTCTCTGCCTTGCCCTGTATTCCTTTCCTCCAGTACTGTTTTCATTCTGCTGCAGTTTGTCTTTTACACTCCCCACCAACACACTTTTATTCATCTTGTTGTCTGCTGTGGCGATGTTTACATTAAATAATTGTGTAAAATTTGTCAGTTATGTTGTCATTCAGGTCCATGCAAAGAAAGCACATGCAAATGTGGGAAAAGACATAATCAATTACATATCATTTGCAGATTGAAAGCAGCAACAACAGGGGATGCTAATTGTATTTGCTGGATTGATTTCCATTCTGGACATTGATGAATATGTGAACAATAGCTATTTCTATTGAAATTCTTTTACTTACCAAATTTGAATACCCTTTTATGTATTTATTTTTCAAAAAAAATAATACCTGAATTAAGAGTCAAATTACACTTTACTGCCACAATTCCTCATTATATTATTGAGTATTTAGACAAGACAATCAGTTTTTCTAAAAAAGAAGAAATCAGTTGTAAATAGCATAGTGCTTTCCTTTCTGTCAACAATATCAAATCTTAAAATTGTGTTTGTGTGCAGACACATGGAAAGTCAACCATTGCTCAGTTGAAGTTGTCTGTATATGGTTGTTTGTTCATCAGAATAACTTTCTAAGTTCTCAAAGAAAGCCCTGAGCATTTCTTCTCCCTCCCGCAAGTGTGGTGTAGTGGTTAAGAGTGGTGGAATCGTAATCTGGTGAACTGGGTTTGCGCCCCCGCTCCTCCACATGCAGCTGCTGGGTGACCTTAGGCTAGTCACGCTTCTCTGAAGTCTCTCAGCCCCACTCATCTCACAGAGTGTTTGTTGTGGGGGAGGAAGGGAAAGGAGAATGTTAGCCGCTTTGAGACTCCTTCGGGTAGTGATAAAGCGGGATATCAAATCCAAACTCCTCTTCTTCTTCTTCTTTTTCTTCTTCCCTCTCTCCCTTGCCATGGCATGTGGGCTACTGCAGTTTCCCATGCTTAAGTCAGCACTGCGTAACTGGTGGAGCAGTCTCTGAGCAGGATTTAACCTGGGTCAAAAGATGCACGCTTTATATCATCATGATTCAAAAGTTCATGTGAAGTTTGGAAGAGGGGATGAACCCAGTGGATACTGCAGTTCCCATCTCTATATTTTCCACTCTCATTAAGAAAGAGAGAGAAAATATGCAACTTCGTTTCTTTTACAAGGAAAATTGTAAAATAAAATCTTACTCAAACACCCATGCACACCCACCCACTCCCATGGTGCCATCTAGATGTTGAACTCCAACTTCCATCAGCCCCATACAGGTTGGTCCAGTGGTCTGGGGTGATGGAAGCTGGAGTCCAACAATATCTGAAGGGCAACACTTTGGCTACCACTACCTTAAATATTTATTGTGACACAATGTTTTGTGTGGGCTAAACCCAAATTGTCCATGGATGAGTGAGTTCTGGTCCACAACAGCTCATGCCACATTAGTTTTGTTGGTTGTTTTAAATTGTTACCTTCAATGACTGCTGTAACAGATTTTATAATATTTCTGGAGCTAAGCTTTCTTGCTTATGGTCCCCACTCCAACAAAACAGCCACCTTTTTATTATCAGAATTATTCACACATAAAAAGGAAGTAGAACCTGAAGCTTGATCATTAGATTCTAGAACCTTTTTTTGTAACTGGATCTAGGCCTTAGTATCAGTGGCAAACTCCACCTGGGAAAAGAAATCCCTAACACTGCTGAGCAGCTTGCCGTTAAAACAGCAACAACAACAAACTGCAGAAAGATGCAGACAGAATGGAGAAAAGTTGGGGTGGGAAAAATTAAACTTCAGCAAATAATTCAAGGAAAATCTCCATCCCTGCCTTTCTATGGCTTATTTCCACCTGCCAGTCAAAAGCAAAATGGAATTCATTTGTAGATCTGTCAGTTTATTTATGGATTCTAACTTGCCATTGTTACAGGGCAACTGTTTTAGTGCGAATTAAAAGGCTTTGCTGGAAGGGGGGAGGAGGAATGTAGAGACAGATTGGTATTCATCTCTTTCTGCAAAGCTGAAAACAACCATGGCTCCTTCTCCCACCCCCATCACGGTGCCTTCTGCTACCATGTTCTTCCTCCTCCAAACTGCTTCTCTGCCCCCCTTCCATCTCTCCCCCCACCCCCGTGACTCTCCTGTTCAGCCAGGCCTTCAGGAGTTGCTGCTGAATTTTGTTGAAATTGAAAGGGTAGTATGTCAGGATTTTAGATGATTAGAGAGTTTCAGTAAAAACAGGTTCAGCTTTCTGGTGAACAGCCACTCTACCTTGGACTTACAGAAGGTTAATTTGTTCATGCTGTGCTCAAGGATTCGCCCTGCCTTTCCACCACCCCTGGGTGTCACAAGGTCATAGAAAACTGCCTTATACTGAGTTAGACCATCAATCCATCCAGCTCAGCATTGATTACACTAAGTGGCAGCAGCTCCCCAGGGATCCAAGCATGGGACATTCTCAGTCAGTAGCATAGTGGC